ATTGGATTCAGTAGTAAGCCCATGGTTCTTGATGATAAACATAAATGCATCATCCATGAGACCTCCTTCACATCCCATATCGGAACTCGTGTCACAGTCCACGAGTTCCTGCTCAGATAAAGAAATCAATTTACCAGTGGTGATCTTGTTGATTCCTTCTGTAGCAGCTACAGCAGAAAATGCCCAGCAACATCCTATAATATTATAATACAGTCGATTAGTTTTTAGTATTGCAGATTCATATTTAAAAGGGCAGTTATATTTTCAATGAGTTATTGGTTAAACTTAGAGATAACGGTCAAAAACACATCTGAACTATCACTTTTCGTGAGTTTCATACCCCAACTATCAGTTTTTCCCTTTTCCTACCTGAACTAATGGTAATAGCTAATAGTTGGCCTACTCAGCTTTGAGGTGTGTTTTAAATACATAGATGGTGATATTTCAGGTAGGAAAATGGAACAACTGATAGTTGAGGTGAAACTCGCGAAAAAATGATAGTTCAGGTGTATTTTTACCATTTACTCTTTAACTTACCACACTGCCCTTGATTCTTAATTCCAGTGACAGCACCCTTTTTTCTCCAATCCATAGTAGCTGGAGCAGTTACGTTTTCGTACTTGAATGCTGTGATTTCAGGGGATTTCTTTTGAGAAGGCATTCTATACCCATTGCGAGTGGCTCTGAATTCATCATTCGTCAAATCAGCAAATTCATTGATGTCCAACTTGTAAGGCTTGATTCCAGCCTTGTTGACAGAATCGATGTACTCAGTATTGTCCTTGAATCTTTTGAATCTTTTTGCCTTCTCTACATCATCTTTGTACACACGCCCAAAACGTGTCATCCACTGCTCGTGTTTCTGGACCATTGATGTTTCATACAAATCACGAGATGTGGCTTGAGAAGCCTGCATTCCCAACACTAGAAGAGCTACAAAAGCAAGCTTCCAATTAAATGTCATGGCCATTTTTCGCTACTCGTACCTTTGTAGTGATACTAATATGTGTGTGTTTGAATGTTGATGAAAAGTTTAGAGGAAGCAAGGAATTTATATAGTAGTTGTTAATGTTAACATTTTCTCATGGTAATTGAGTTCCCTGGAATGCCCGGTATGTTATCTGTGATTGTGACAACGAAGATGGACCCCGTACATGCTACTCTGTTATCCTCAAATGATATATCCTGCTAATAAGCCTCTCATTTGTAGCTTTGTGATATGTTTTCTTCCCATAATCTTAGCAATGGAGTACATGACCACAATGTTGTCCTGTTTGCAAATTACAATCACTTCTTTATTGGCAATTAGAGTGACATGGACCATGACAAAGGATATTATTATACTGAATGAAAGTCGAAGGTTAAATAATAAAGGGGAAGAAAACAAATCAATCCCAGCAATGAAGGGCTTTTGACTGCAATATGAAACCATATTGAATGAAGGGGTTGCAATACCCTCATCACTTTCTTTTGTATAATTCCTAGTGTTCAAGTTAGAGAACATGTAGGAAATCTGAATCGTTGGTAGTGAACAAGTAGAAATTCATCATTATAGTCGTTGGTGTGACCGTGCTTAAAGCCATATTCATTTGATCATGTGAAAATCACTGGTTGATTGTAACAGAGGGAAATAAGTGTATAGCACTGAAAATCTGTTGTGTGTCAACGAGACTAGACGTAAGCCACTTGTTTGGGCCGAACCAGGATAAATCCTTGTGTCTTTCTCTACATTACTATCTTGATTTATTTAGTCTGTTAAATACAACTTCTTGTAATTAATTCATGAATACTAAAGAAGGAACTTAAGCTAAAGAGTCCTGATAAATAATGATTCAGACAATATTCGGCATTTTTGAACCAGAAAATGCTCATTTTCCATTTGGAGCCTCACAATCACTGGCCAATATGCCTTTCTTCATTCATAGTTCAATATTCTGGTGTCCTAGGCGTAGAGGAACCACTCCAAAAATAGTGGTATTTGCTAGCAACAACATAATGGACGCAGTCACTCAATATAGATTGATCCAAATCTAATTCAAATCCCATAGCACTTATGGGTACATAAGAAATGTATTGAATCGACTCTTTTAAATGAATAGATCCCACCACAACTTCAAATATGGGATTCAAAGGGATCAAATAACTTAATTATTCCCTTGCTAGGACTCATCTAGTTGAAGTAAGTAAGCTGTTCGTATTGATGTACACCTATTCTCCATCCTCTGGTAAATTTATTAATTGGCTGTTACCGTAAGACTCTGAGCTGATACTTCTGTCATAAGTTTATTAGTCGAAAACACAATGTAAGAACGATAGACAGTAGGCAAAGTGAATACTAAATTCAATTAGTTGTTTGGTTGATGCAGTGAATATAAAAAACAGGAAGAATAAACAATCCAAGACTGTCGAGTATAAACAAATAGATTGGAAAGTAATAAAGTATAATTTCATCACATTAACAGTGTTTTTACATACAGGCTTTTGTTTTAATAGTTCAAATTGTATAAACAAACCTATAACATATTACATACACAGAGTTCTAGAGGCACCACTTAAATTATGAACGTGTACAACACTTCATAATTTCTAAGCTTAGGCAGTTGGATAAGAAGCTTCCATAGCAATTCCGCAGAGTCCTTCCACAGTATCAACATTTCTTTGCATTCTAATGTAACCATTCTCGCCCCAACTAGTTCCCCACGAGTTCTTCACTAACCAATACTTCGTCCCATCACTAGCTTCACCATATCCAACTGCTGTAACACCGTGATCTAACTCAGTTCCACATTCTCCAGTAAAAACACCGCTTGAATAGAACTGAAAATCTGATCCACTAGCATCAATCGCGACAGATACAGGTTGGTTAGCTACAGCTTTAAGTAGAGCAGACTCGCTGTTAGCTGGAACATCTTCGTAACTAGTAATCTTTGCAGCATGGCTTGATTCCTTTCCGGTTTTGCAAGTGCTATCCGTTCCCTGGTATGGGTAATTGGATTCAGTAGTAAGCCCATGGTTCTTGATGATAAACTTAAATGCATCATCCATGAGACCTCCTTCACATCCCATATCAGAACTCGTGTCACAGTCCACGAGTTCCTGCTCGGACAAAGAAATCAATGTACCAGTTTTGATCTTGTTGATTCCTTCTGTAGCAGCAACAGCAGAAAATGCCCAGCAACATCCTACAATATTATAATACAGTAGATTAGGTTTTAGTATTGCAGATTCATATTTAAAAGGGCAGTTATATTTTCAATGAGTTATTGGTTAAACTTAGAGATAACGATCAAAAACACATCTGAACTATCACTTTTCGCGAGTTTCATACCCCAACTATCAGTTGTTCCCTTTTCCTACCTGAACTAATGGTAATAGCTGATAGTTGGCCTACTCAGCTTCGACGTGTGCTTTAATACATAGATGGTGATATTTCAGTTAGGAAAATGGAACAACTGATAGTTGAGGTGAAACTCGCGAAAAAATGATAGTTTAGCTGTATTTTTACCATTTACTCTTTAACTTACCACACTGTCCTTGATCCTTAATTGCAGTAACAGCACCCTTTTTTCTCCAATCCATAGTAGCTGGAACAGTTACATTTTCGTATTTGAATGATGTGATCTCAGGGGATTTCTTTTGAGAAAGCATTCTATACCCATTGCGAGTGGCTCTAAATTCCTCATTCGTCAAATCAGCAAATTCATTGATGTCCAACTTGTAAGGCTTGATTCCAGCCATGTTGACGGAATCAATGTACTCAATGTTATCCTTGAATATTTTGAATCTTTTTGCCTTCTCTTTATCATCTTTGTACACACGCCCAAACCGTACCATCCACTGCTCGTGTTTCTTGACAATTGAGACTTCATACAAATCGCGAGATGTGGCTTGAGAAGCCTGCATAACCAATACTAGTAGAGCTGCAAAAGCAAACTTCCAATTGAATGCCAATGCCATTTTTCTAGTACCTGAATGTTTCTAGTGATACTAATATCTTTAGTGTTTGAATGCTGGTGAGGAATGTTAGAGGGAGAAAGCTATTATTTATACTAGTGAAGATGTTTTATTTAACATTGAATTATGTTGATTCCGTAAACGTTGCTCTGTTATTCTCAAATAATACACATCTAATAAGCCTCTCATTTGTAACTTTCTGATATGTTTTCTTCCCAAAATCACAAATAGCTTCTCTTTTGGCCCTTAATGTGACATGGAAAACAACAAAAAAGTAGTTACCCACAGAATTTTTCAACATAAGCTTAGGGAAAGAACAGCATTTTCACAGGGATGGCAAGCGGAGCGGGGCAGGGAGGGTGCGATTTTTGTCTTTATCCTGCAGAATTTCAACTCGTCCCCGCAAGAAATGATGCATTTTGTATTGGCACTATACATAAACATGCTCTTTAACTTGGTCTCAGTTGATATCTATGTCTTCTTACTTTGGGTGTGAGACTAGTAGACACTTCAACTTTACAAAATGGAACAAATATACACATGCATCCTACATGGCAATTTGTGTCTTACATGGCGTAGACATAAAACGCGTGTGTCTATTTATTCAATTTTTTATAAATTTAAGTGTCTACTTATACACGCCCAAAGTCGAATTGAGAATCAGGAGTAGTATCTAGGATTAGTACTTGGAATCGATAACCAAAACTTAAGTTAGGATGAAAACTTGAGGTGTGAGGTTCAACGTGATTTTGGAAAATGGTTTCCTTACTTTTTTAAGGTAAGTCATTTTCCTTAAATTTGAGGAAAATAAGTTAATTTGGAAAATATTTACACATGAGAAAATTGGAAAATATTTTCCTTCGTACCAAAAACACCTCAAGGAAAGAGGTAGATCTTCTTCTATCTTTTTTGTTATTCTTGGCTCTTGGAAGTCTCCCTTCACATTCTTACAGGGGATGAAATGAAGGGAAAGACAAATTGCTTCAGAAATCCACATGTTCTTGGGAACAAATAATGCACCATGAAATCATATACAACACAGCATGAAGGGTGAAAGATACAACAACAAACAAGGAACTTTTTTCTTGTACAAGTACAGAAACAAAAAAGGCACAGTTACAGTCTAGGGAATATTATTAGCACATCAGCCTCTAGACGAGACGAGTGTATAGCACACCTTTGCCACTGCAGAGTAGGATATGATTCTTATGACAACAAAAGCTCATCCAGTAGCAAATATTTACAAGGCTCAATATCTTGCACAGCCAGAATCAGTACTGGTTCTTCACAATGAGAAATAGCCATTGCAAGAATAATCTGGTTGCATGTTAAAGAACAGAGGTGACCTTCAGATGATTAAAAGGAAGCATCAACAAAAAAAATATATATATATACACACACTTGTCTGAGATCGAGGAGGACAATCATAATACCCGTCGTTCTACTCACCTAATCAAAATCCATGTATGCTCCAGCAGCAAAAACGTATAAGCCCACGCTGCTGCATTGGTAAAAACTGTGAAGCTACATTCTATCAATAGGCTCGGTATGACCCTGCACCGCCAAACGCTCTGATACATCAGCTAACGATTTGAGGTTACACCGGATGAGGGCCTCCACAAAGAAGCATGTTTCGTCCTTAGTATTCCCATCTGGTATGTCTACTACAAATGACTCGATTACAATTGTTCCAGGTCTCCCGTCAATGACCTCGGGATGAACAGTGATAATTGATGAGTAGTTCTGTCATGTATTCAAAGAAAACGAGAAATCACTTGCTAACAAGTTCAGTATATAAATATTGAGTAATACTTGTGTTTTCCAACAGAAAATGATGCAAAAACATACTACCATAATTTTACTACACAGCGTGGAAGAAAAGCTGGCTCACATTATGTAAATGGAAGCACAATATTTTCATGATGAGTTATATGTATTTGGTAAAGAAACAGAAAAAGACAAGAAAGAAACGGAGTTCATAGAGAGCTTAATAAATTGAGTTTAGATAACGCAAGGTAGGTTCCTTGGACTTGAAATGAGCAAGCATAGGGGATTTATTTATCAATTCTTACAATTCATACTCTAAGCAGGTCCTTTTACTTTTGCATCATTTGATTAATCAGATGTTTGGATAACATACTTAATAAGAGAAGGGGTAGAGAGGAGCTGCACAATCTTGTTTTGGAAAATGGTCCTAACCATCCCATACCACATTTTCGCTGATATGAAACAACAGAAACCCCTCTTTTCACGGAGGAAAAGCTATCCTTGCATTCACGTCTTAGTTCTCCATTTTTTAGCCAAAAAGCAACCATGGAACAGTTCAATATGCTACCCATCTGAGCAATCAGTCCAACAACTACAACTGTTACTACCTTAATCCAAAACTAGTTGTTGATGGCTTTAAGAATTTTCAACATTCATTCCACTCCATCCGGAACTTCTTTTTTTCTGGAAGTAAAATAGCTTAAAATAACTCCATCTAGATCTGCTTCATTCGAATACTCAATAAATGTGTATTTTAAGAAAAAATTAGAGGTCTATAAAAGATTCTCTACATTGTCTAGTGGTACACAAAGGAACTAAACAAAACAAAAGATTCCTGACGAACACCAAACCTAATGAGTGTACATGCACATGATAAGAGTCATAAGACCATGGAAAGAAAAGGAGTATACACAAAGCTCAATAAACTCTTTTTTTTTCACACGGTAAGGTAAATTTCATTATAAATTGTACCAAGGCACTGGGAAGTAGAAAAGGCAAAAGATTACAGCATTACATCTTCACCCCCATAAGGAATAAAAAAATCAAAGAAGTATGATCTTTATTGTCAATCCAACTACTATTACACCAGAAGCTCAATAAATTGGAGTTAAGATGATGTGAGGTAGATTATTTGGACTTAGCATTAGTCTCTGCCCTCTCCCAGAGGAAAATTATCTAACCATTCTTACAAATTCATGTTCAGTAGGTCATTTTGTTTTTCATCGTTCCAGTTACCAAATATTAGCATTACACACTCATAGATGATAGAACTAGAAATTGTGAAATCTTATACAGGTAAAAGGATCCCTACATCCCATGCTATACCCTCATAGAAGGACTGCATCGATGACTCTTCAAGAAACGAAACCACAGAAACGTCTCTTGCTATGAGGGAAGGTTGACCAGGCATTCACTTCTCCATTTCCTAATCAAGGAACAGTAAAATGAAGAACTGAATATTTGATGAATGGAACAGTTCAACATGCTCACCGTCTGAGCCGCTAAAGTTCCACAACACAAACCATGTGGGATCTAACTTGAAAAATACTACAACTTCCTCTATTCCAGCTTACGTGACACTCTTTTCTCTTTAGTTTGTGTAAAAAGATAGACATCCCATTTTAAATGCTATTGACATGACTTATTTGGAACTGATTTTTTTTATTAAACAGAAGATGAAGAGAAATGTGGAACTCTTACCATCTCCCATTTAATTGTTGCTATCAAGGTCAACTTTAGTACTTTGATATATTTAGTTTATGTGTCAAAGAATTTCATACTGATACAGTCAAACACCATCATGTAAAATGGGATAGGAGGCTCATTATTGCTCCAGAAAAAGTAATAAGAATAGTATGGAACGTCTTAAGCAAGCAGGTTCCATGTGATATTCAAACACAATTACATAAGTATTAACTGAGTAAGACAATTCTGGGGCAATAAAGAAGATGGTTGTACATGACAAGCAGACAAGATGCGAGTAGAACTCAAGTTACTTCCATCTAAACTTCAGCAGACATTCTTTAGGCTCAAGCTTGAGTTTCTTTATTGAATGGACACTTTATGATCACTATAAAACATCTAAGGTAACTTCTTAACTCAAAACTTCATTGTTTGTGCTTTTCCCACCCCTACTTTAAAATCAATCAATATCTCTCTATCAGGCGCACACACACACATACCGTGAAGGCATTTGAATAAGCAAAGGTGACATAAATGAATGCTGAAAACATGAAGTTTCAAGTTCAAATTCTGTCTGCATACATTTATAAAATAATACTGTATAACCTTGTGACTCTCACCCCATAATGGATGCTTAACTTATAAGGAGTCTTTGATATTTATCAGCTCTTTCAGAATAGAATGTTAAAATTTACCTCGTATATTGTGATAGTTAGTATTCTGGTTTCAGAAACAGCCTCTCTACCTCCACGAGGTAGGGGTAAGGTCTGCATACACTTTAACCTCCTTAGACCCGGCATATAGGATTACACTGGGTATGTTGTTGTTGTTAGTGTTCTAGTTGAAGAAGCCGATCAGGAAAAATAAAATTAGAGGTGAGAAGGAGGAAGAGGATAATCAGCATAGTTCAATGGTGGTAACATCATCTCTAGTTGGAGTAACTGAGAGAAAATAGTAAAGATTCAAGTACGTAAAAATCTTTTACAATGAAAAGCATGCCCCTCACCCAACTACAACAAGAGAAGGAGATATAGTTGTCAGTGTTATTGAAGTATATGCAGATGCAAGAAGGTTAGTGGAAAACATGGTTTCTTACCATTAAACACACACTTGAATTCTATATTCCTTTTTCACTGAATAAACTCAACTTCACTTATTCAATATCATAAGATACAAAAAATACCTGATGTTACAATTTAGCCAACATATATAATCTATCCAATGCATCAATAGTACCCATGTATTTTCTATGAGAAAATACAAGATGCATACCTGAAGCCTGTGATCTCCACCAACAATCTTTACGCCAAAGATGTGTTCCTCGTCATCTAGAAGCTCTAACCTCTCCTTGCTGGTGGTAGCTGGAAGACCCGACCTAACATTCACTTCTCTCACACTCCCAATTTCAAGGTCCCCTTGCACAACGCATCTGCTAACGAATGGCTTGTACCTTTGTGGTTGATCAAACCTTCTCACCAATGACCATACCTATGAAACATACCAAACCAGTAAGAGCTCCATAAGAACATATATGTTACAGTCAGTCCCACATCAAATAATTAGCTACACATGAAATCAAAAACATAATGCAATTTGGTTTACCAAGGCCAACTCCAAAGTCAAACCATGCAAACATTCTAGGTAACGAAACAATTAACACTACCTTACCCTTTTTTTTAGTAACTGTAGCATATGTGGCAGCTTACACGCACCTCGGCAACTCTATCCACCAAAGCTCAAGACACGTGGAAAGAATCACCTAGTATTTTTGTCTCTGCTAGAAATTGAACCTAAGCCCCCCCGATTCTCAGCCCACTTCATTGAAACAATTAACACTATCTTCCACATAAAAATACGTTCTTTTTCTTCTTTACCTCAAATTTCAATATAACAGCAAAATCATAAATTACACAATTCAACCAAAAAAAATTTCAAAAAAGATAAAATCCCAAATCTTATTTTTCTACAATGTAACCAACCCTTTATGAAAAATCCTAGAAAGCCTTTGTAACAAGATGATCGCATATAGATCTGAGAAAATATGAAAGATCAAGTAGAAAATGGATTTAGCTTACAAGATTAACAGGAGCTCTGATGCGTTTAACAAGTGAAGAACTACACTGATTGTCGTTGAGCACATGCCTATGGTGTCTCCTAATGTACTCATCTTCCATATTATTCATCTTCTCCAACCAAAAAATGGAGAAAAGAAATTCAATGGTGGGGTTTTGAGAATAGGCAAAGTGTGAATTAGAAGAGTCCAAAACACATCGCCTATTGGAACTTCCGATGGCTGAATGGTCCAAAATTGCTCCATTTTTTATGAAAAAAATACAGAGCAAGTGGACATTTGGGGGTCCCTTTACTTTACTACTCCCACACACAGCATAGTGATAGTCGCGGCTTCAGAATTTTCATTAAAATACAGTGACACAGACGGAGACTCTCTCTATATATATCAAATTTAATCATGTGTAAATCATATTAGGTGCTCGGATGAATCTCGAAGCTACTTCCACTCAATTCATGTTCATCAGACTATTGTTGATTTGAAACACTTCTTATACTACTAATAATAATAACAATGATAAGTGAAATAATGAGAGGATAGAGTGTAGACAATCATGATCACTAACTCTTTTAGATAAAGAAGTTATTTTCAAAAGACTATCGGCTCAAGTAAATCAATATAATTTAATTTTATAAATGAATAGTAGATAATAATAAAAAGAATATAACAAATTATTTCTTAATTTTATGAATAGATAAAAGTGAATACCTATTTTTAATAACGAGAAGTATTGAAAACACAACTAAATTTGGTGTAAATTATTAGTTCATCTCCGAAATATTGATAGTCTTAAAAACACCACTCTACTTGACTAACCATTGTACTTGAGTTAGTCAAGTAGAGTGATGTTTTTAAAACTGTCAATAATTTAGAGGATGAAATTAATAATTTACGTCAAGTTCAGTGATATTTTTAAATATTTTTCTTATTTTTAGTATAATGAATAAATAAAAATGAACCGAAAAAATATTTAGCATAAACCAAAATGGAAACATATAGTTTTGACACGAGTGTTCAAAATTTGGCGAATGAAAGGTTAGATGAAAAGGATAAAGCACATTATTGGATAATGCTTGAATTTGGCGAATGAAAGGTTAGATGAAAAGGATAAAGCACATTATTGGATAATGCTTGCTTGCTTTCATTTCACTTAATTTCCCTTCCTTCTATTCATTTTTTAATTTAATCCAATCGAATATTCCAATCCACATGTCATACATTCTTGGATGTGACATTGCTCAACCCAATAATGTAACCAACTATATTGATTTAGAGAATTTAGTTATTGATTTGCTATAGAATTATATAATTTCATATCGATATCAATATATCTCAAAAACAATTTCACAAACTAAATTTGAATTTTATCTTTTATTTGAAGTAGGGGAAATTTTGTAAATAATCACTATAAGAAACTTAATTAGGCTCCTTAGCTATAGTTTGCATATTTACAGGTTGTAGCTATAACTTACTCGTTTATATAATTCGCACCATGTTTATATAATTTACGGATACGTTTGTATAACTCGTTTGTATTTGTATATTGAGTTATTTTCGTCCGTAGTTGTATAAGTATGATTATGATTATGTTGGTAGGCTTTTGTACGTATATATTTTGTATAAGCAAAATATAGAAATATACAATTACGGATTTATACAAATATGGGTACAATTGTAGATCTAAAATTGGATCTGTTTTTTGGAGTAATACAAATTCCGGAATTATACAAATATGATAAAATTTGAAATAACAAATTTATACAAACACAAACATCTGAACTTTAAACAGTTATACAAACTATATTATACAAAAGTTATACAAATTATGTTATACCAATTTCGAAAACTACATGTTTATACAAACTTTAAAAAGTTATAAAAAATTTGAATGTATCTGATAATAAAACTAAAAAACCAAAGGAAATCACCGTCATATACAAAAATAAATACAAAACAAACGAAGAATTGTTAGTGGCGAATTTTTTAGTGCATGTGGAATGATTAGTTTTGTATACACATAATGTTTTACATATTTGATCTGTCATTATTGATTTTGTGACATCTTTTAAATGAGAAGCCATTTTTGGATATGGTTTCAAGAAATTTTATGTGTTTCTTGTATAGTTTATTCTCACTATCATACATTGAATATTTTAGTAAAGATACAATAAATAATATTTGATTATTAAAAAACGATGAACATTATGTAGAGTGAATTTATTTTTACAATGAAGCATTGGTTTCTTGAATTTATTTTACAATGAATTATTTAACAAAAAAATATGTTACAATGAATCATGCATATACATTGTACTTTATGTATAATGAATTTATTTTTTATATGAATTCAATAAATATGATACATAATTTATTAAGATACAATAATAGTGATGTATTCATTGTACTTTATGTATAATAATTTTTTTATGTAAATTTCAATGAATATGATACATAAATTAGTAAGATACAATGGTCTTGATGTAATCAAAATTAACCTTTATTGAATCTCAAAACACTCTTTTATCGATTAAATAATACTTCTACAAAATAATACTCCCTCAATTTCAAAATAAGTGAATTGTTGAATCTTTTTTCATAGTTCAAAATAAGTGAATTGTTCAAAACTCAAAAGAGTTGTTAGGAAATTTTTCCATTTTTACCCCTCATTTGTATCTTCTAGGTGATAACTTTAAGAGAGTTATTTGCTCATATTTATGATTTTTTTACTTTGAATTATTTATATTTTTAAGAATATTTTGAGAATAACTAAAAGGGGAAAGTGGAAAGTGACGTTTATTTTATGTCCTAAACTTTCTTTTTCTTAATGGATGTGCATTGCCTCAACAATTCACTTATTTTGAAATTAAGAAAGTAGTATTTTATGATTCCACCTATATTAATTTAATAAGATTTTATTGTATATCATATAAAAATGACAAAATTTAATGAATATATTGATCTTGACGACTTTGATGCATTTATATACTTTTTCAACAAACTAGTTTAACCACTATACTGACTAATAAATATTTCTCAGTAGGATGGACTCATCATTAAATTTAATTGCCCAAAAAATACTTTGAAATAGAAAAAATAAGATCATTAATTTTAGGGGAAAATCTAATTAATAACCAATTGACCATTTTGGGAAAAATCTTTTTAAAAAGTTTTTATTCACAATTAATGGACTCGTCATAAATTTAATTGCCCCAAAAAAGAACTTTGAAATAGAAAAACTAAGACCATTAATTTTAGGGGACAATCTAATTGATAACACCATTTTGGGAAACTCTTTAATAAAAAGATTTTAATTATTCACAATTTATTATTCATACATTAATGATCTTTTTGACCTTTTTCTAATTTTAGTTCTATAAATTGAAATCTTAAGTTTTAAACTAAACCACACCACCATTTTCATTACCCCTTTTCACTTTACTTCGCCGTTATGTGATAACAACCGCCGCCGCACCACCGGCTATAACCTCCGTAGCTCTACCATCAACTAGTCGTAAGCTTGATCAAGTTTTATCTGATCAAACTTATTCATCCCCTATCAGAAAGAGAAAGAGAACTGATCCAACTTCAATTCAGATTTTTGTTCAATCGTTAACAAGAGGAGAAATCCTAGTTATCCGAGCTCATTCAACAGATTCCATAAAAGTCATTTACAATCAATTCAGGTTGATCACTAGTATACCACCATATCATCAACGACAGTGTACAATGGAAGACAACTCTCCAGTCACCAAACATTGACATTCTATAGCGTTAAAAATGATACATCCATATATCTAGTTGGCCAAACGCGGAGCACATCTCATCTTTAGGCATGGCAAATAATCAGTGACATGATTTCAAAAATAAATCTGCCATTTTGAAAAGATTTTTGATTTTTTGAAATTATGTCATTTATTATTTGCCATGCGTGAAGATGAAATATGCTTTGCATTTGACCAACTAAATGCATGGTTGTATCAATCTAAACGCCATAAAATGTCAATGTTTGGTATGACCGACTGGATAGTTGTCTTCCATTATACACTAGTCGTTGATGATCTGGTGGTATAGCAACGATCAACCTTATTTTATTGTGAATGACTTTTACGGAATTTATAGGATGAGCTCGGGTAACTAGGATTTCTCCTCTTGTTAGCTCATCCCACTAGTACATATATACTCTAAGTTCCCCAGAAACTTTTTTTGGTTTATTCTTCCAAGAAAGAACTTTATTTTAGTGTTTCCAAATCCCCAAATTCTCCTTGATGGAAGCAAACTTGTATGTCCTCTTTTTTTCCTTATAGTTTTGCCTCCCAAAATATTGGGACGCTTCATTTTTACTTGTCACATTTTTCTTTTTGAGAATTAAATTGTATTAACTTTCACCAATATTTTAAGATGAAAGAGAATTGCATCTTGTATTATTTTTTGTATGTTTTGAATGTATAAATTTTATATTTGATATATTAAAATAATTTAATCAAATTTAACTCTGAAAATTGACTCTCATGAAACGTGACAAGTAAAAGTAAATAGAGCGAGTATATCTTAAAATATTAGTAATTTTTTTTATGTAGTTTGACTCTCGATAAGACGATAACTGAAATGTGAAATTTTAATTTGGAGGGAATATAAACTTTGGTTTTTATTGCTAATTCTTTGAGAAATAAAATTAAATTAAAAAGTTAAATTTGTGTTTTTAATTTCCTTTTGACTTTTGGGAAGTTTGCACTTTTAGTCCTTTAAATATTGGCAAGTTCAAATTTGGATATTTTTGATATCTAACTAAGCATATTTGACTTTCAATTAATTGAATTGTGTAGTGTTGATATCTATACTTGTGAATTTTCACTAGTTTAACAAATTACATATCATCCTATATATTATTCTATATTATAACAGTAAAGTCACCTTGATGGATATGTTTTATCATTATAGTAGGAAAAGTTCATACCTCGATGATTTTAGGTGAAATGTCTAAATTACTTAACTTTTTTATCTTGCGAATTTTCATTGAAATCCCTTATGTCTTTATGACCGTCACAGAGTTCTTTTGGTACTTGTTCATCCTTTTTTCACCCTCTTGTACTTCACTTTCTACGATATGATGACCGTTGTCACCAGTGGCGGAGCCACATGAAGTTGAGGGGCCCTTCGTCGAAAAATTACATTGTGTAGCTAGACAAAAAATATTTTTGTATGTATATATATTACATATTGACACTCCTTGACTTCTATGCGATTTTCCTTCTTTATATTTTGACACCCCTTTGTCAAAGTTCTGGCTCCGCC